GTGTGCTTCCGGCCAGGAGTTGAGCTGCTGAGTTACTTAGTTAAGCTTCTAGACTCCTTAAGTTGACACAATGTATCAACCATAACAAGGACAGGAATTTCTTTTCAGTTTAAACATCACCTGCTGAAATACATCAGACTAAATTATTCAAACGTTTTGAAAAGACAAAAGCTAAAATCCATTTACCAGTTTCTTTAAATTGTTCCTATAAAACGCCTTCATGTGACCCTGCATCTCACCTGTAGTCTCCACCTCGTACTATCTACACATATTAAAGCTTAGCGATGCATTACCCACAACAACACTATCTCCACATTCATTCTAAGAAATTTCCACATGACAGTGTGCTCCTGCATGACTATGAGTCATTCCTTCCACCTCTCACTGTGGCTATGATTCCTATATGTGGAATGGCTATGATTGCTATATGTGGAAAATCAGAGAGAAAGTCCTCCATGCTTCCTGGTAGCTGATGCTGCGGCTCCGGCAGTTCTGTGCGCTATGAAAGAGCCCTTGAAACCCTCTGTGCACATCAGTCCATATTTGAAGCCTGAGCATTTCAAAGGTGTCACGAGACGCCAGCACATATGGCCAAGGTGAAAGAAAATCATGGCATGAGGTGGGATTAAAAAATGGTGTTTAAATGTGTTAAAAATAGTTATTATTTATGAAAAATATAATGCTTAAGTTTGCTAAAGTAATTATTATTCTAAACACACAGCTGTTGATACTGCTTGCTTCCAACACTCCAATTACACATTCTTTCTACGTTCTGAAGCAGTTCTGAGCCTTCTTTCGTAAGTACCATTAGTCGTGCTGTCATGGCTGCCTCAAAGTCCTGATACCATTTATTGTGTCTCTCTTTGACAGTCATTTTGACATTGGAAAGAGCCAGAAGCTGCAAGTACCAGATCCAGCAATAGGGTGAATATTACGTACCACCGTGCAAAAGCCTGATTGCCATGAAATGTCACTAGGTAGCAGTGTTTCATGTGCATTTTTGTTATCACAAGTATAGAAGACCCTCATGAAAAAGGACTTCTAAAACAGCTACAGAAATTGGCAAAAATGATGGAACAACTGTGTTTGACGAGAGTGGAAATATTTTGAGAAAAATTAATGGCATTGTGTTTTTACACTGTAATATTTTATTGAAATGTTTATTTTGATCATTTTTGTACAACAGAGGATAATGTGGTAAATCACTCAACTCCAGATAGGGTACTGACACCATTTACATTTTTTTTTAGGTTGTGAGTTTCTTCAGAAATATCTTCCTGAAAAATGCCCCTGCTACAATTTTAACCTTGTCATTTTCTCATAAAAGCATCAACAGAAGATAATCTACAGCCCTGAAATATCACTGGATGTAGAAAGCATTATATTTTATCAAGTGAACTATATTCATGTTTACTGAGAGCTATTTTGGTCTCGGAGTAGAGACTCAGACCTGTCTGACATAAGCTATAGTTTTGAATTTTAAGTAAAATAGAATAGAATTACATTTCAACTCGAGTCCATTTGTGCAGATTGCTTTAATGATTATCATCCACTAGTCATTTGGTGCTCCTTTTTCCAGCCAGCTAAATGCTTGTTGTGTTCTTTTTGTCCATATAATATTTTGTCTTTGCCATAGAAATCTATAAGGGAACAGAAAATAAGTATTCCATCACATTTAAATATTCATCTTAAGTAAAGCCCTGGAGAATACTTTCCTCTAAAGGAAGATCTGCCTTCACAAAGCACCTATCTTCTCAAACAAAAGATAAAAATAGGTCAAGAGTCCCATGAGTTTCTCTGATTCATTGCACACTCTGAACAGATACATTACTGCTGCAACTACAAAGTAATGGTGAAATAAGAGATGAAGTCATATGTTTTGAGGTTTATAAGCCACCTTGTAGCACATAATGTTATAATGAAGAAACATCACCTTAGAACCTATCATCTCACTGATGATATTAATGTAATACGTTATATCAAAAGTGTCTCATATATGGCAGTTCTCCAACTGCATCGCCTGGACTGGCATCTGCTTAAGTGGTGTATCAGTGCCAACCATGTAATTTAAATGCTTCAACTGCAAATAGGAGAGAAATTGAAGCTGTGTGCACCTGCATACAGGTTCTCACTGTCAAAGGATGGCATCGGGTGTAACAACACTCTTTAGGGAATCTATATGTGTAAGAAATGAAAAATCGGATTTAAGCACTTTGTTTTTTCCAAACTTCCTTAACTATGGTAGAAATGATGTAAATTATGGTGACTTCATTTTGCCTATGTAATAAATAAATAAAACTGGGCAAACTAAAATATCTTTAATTAGAAAAATCATAAATTGTTCAGAACACAAGTGAAAAGAAGTTAATACATTATTACATAGAAAATGCAATAATTCACTTGTTGACTGATGAAACTTTGAGTGACAATATACATCATAAGAACAGAACTTCTCTTGTCTTTTTCAACCAACAACACAGCAGTTTTTAAAGATCCAGCACTTCATGATTGTCTACACTCTTTCTGAGAAAGTAGTCTCTGTTACTTGATGAACTTTTAGCTTTTGCCCCAGGTGCCATAGTAGAGGCACTGTGGTGCCAGCTCACTGAAGCTGCCTGCTCATTTCAGCCCAGGATCAGATTCCATGCTCTCTTTCTGGTTCTCATTAGCAGTACAACGTGCAGACTCACCCACTTTGTGTTTTCTACATCACCTCCTTAGTCACATCAGAAATGAGAACTTCAAGGGCCGGCCAGATAGCTCAGTGAATTAAAGCACCTGCTTAGACAAACAAAAGGACCAGGGTTTGATCACTGTGGGTGCCCCTTCCCCAGGGAGCACTAACATGGCAATTGAGACTGGGTGTGATGGCCTGTAATCCCAGCACTTGCAAGGCTGAAAGCATGAGTGTTGCTGGAGTGTAATCCAGCATTTTCCATTTTGAATGTCTAAAACCACTGCAATACCTGTTAATACTGTATATACAAGTCTTTTATACCTTTCCTATTCCTTTTAATCCCCACTCCTGGCTTCTGCAGAAGGGCGGCCTCATAACCTCACAGGACACCAAACCTACAGTTGCCCGGTCTCATATGAAAAGGCAAAGCATTTGCATATACCATACAAACTACCCTGCACACTCTAAATCATCTCTAAGTAAATTATAAAACAGAACACAAGGTAAATTTTATGAAATCAGCTGCTATTCTCTGTTATCGAGTAATGAACACAGGACCTATTTGTTCAATAGAGGTGCATTGTTTTTCATAATGCTTTCATTTTAAATTCAACTGAATCCATGGATGAGATACCACGGAGACAGAAAGAATCTGCCATTCACTACGTGAGCACACTGGTCTCCCAAGTGCTAAGTCCCTGGCTCCTTCTTATACCACAATGGACATCTCATGCTTCAATATTTCCCTCTGAAATCCAGCAAAACTAAAACAGACCACTTGGGGAAGAAAGAATTTTCTTAATATTTAAGCACTTATGGGGCTGGTGAGATGGCTCAGTGGTCTAAAGCACCTACCTAGAACAAGCTTAGCAAAGCACAGGGACCGCGGTTCAATCCCCAGCACCACATGCCAGCCAGCCCTGCCCCCTGGTGGGCTGAGCTGGAGACACACACACACACACACACACACACACACACACACACACACACATAAATAAATAAAAATTTTAAAAAAGTTAAAAAAATATTTAAGCACTTATGAATAGTTTCAAAATTCAACAATAACAAGGTGTAGCATTGGTAGGATTTCTGAAGTCAGATGAAATTTAGTTCAGCAACTATCAAATCAGAGGGGAGGTTCTTTTTACAAACAAACTTTATCTTTTACCTTACACATAGGTTACTTCTAAATCTCCTTTATCCTTGTTAAATGCTCCAAAAGCTAAATTTAGATGATGACATATACTTCAAATTGATTTGCGTGACTGTGACTCTCAGAGAGTTGCATTCCTATAGTAAGTCTCATTTGTTTTAAGCCAATTAAATTTAATAAATTTAAGCAAAAAATTATAAAACAGGCAATTTCCTTCTATGACTGAGTCTCCCTATTTCCTGAAATGCTTTATCTGGCACTTTAAACTTGGGCCAGCAATACTGAATTCCTCCCTCTCTTATTGCCACACTTTTTTTTTTTTAAAGAGAAATATCACAATTGAGCCAGTAACCCATTTGTGAGGTAAACAGCAAAATCTGATTTTAAAAAACCCTAAGAATTGAGGATGGAGCACACTGAGTAGCCTTATACACATCATGGTTAAACCTACAAAACATTTATATGGGGAGAAGAGTAGTACATATGGAGTTTCTGTCCATAACTATTTCATTCCATCAGTAAAATAGTTTTATCGTCCAGGAAGTTTGGACACATGTAATCAAGTAATAAGATTCAATTAATTGTCCATAATATACAAATATGATTGCTACTTATTACCAAGTTACTACCATACTGAGTTAGTTATGAGCGTTTTAAACAGGCAGACTTTTCGAGAAAGGAAAGGAAAAAAGACAGGGAGGACAAGGAAGTAAAGGAAAAAAAGATGAAAAGAAAAAAGAACAGAAATAAAAAGAGAGAAGAAAACAAGTATGGACAACAATTGAAACAAAAAAAAAATGAAAATTAAAATGGAAGGCATATTCCCATCATTGTGTCACACCATGTGATCAGATCATAACTACAAACTTAAATAAACATAGCATAAACTTGAACCTTCAAAACAGGAAAAGTTTCCCTTTAAAGGACCATAATTTCATCATGGAATCCAAACTTAGAAGCAAAAGTATCTCAATTATGAAGGTCATGCTTTCTCAAATAAAGTGAACCATGATGGTGTCTGAAGCTCATAGGTAGGATAATATGCAGCTGTCCTGCCTGTGGTTTCTCCACCCACCACCAAGGAGATATAAAAGGCCCTTGCAGACAGGGAAATCCAGACAAAAGACATCGCCTTCCTGATCCTCAACAGAACAGTCCACTCCTGACAAGATGTGCTACTATGGCAACTACTGTGGAGGCCTGGGCTACGGCTATGGTGGCCTAGGCTGTGGCTATGGTTGTGGCTATGGCTATGGTGGCTATGGTGGCTACAGTGGCTATGGCTATGGCTGTTGTCGCCCCCTGTGCTGTAGAAGTTACTGGTCCTATGGCTTCTACTGAGGAACTGCCACTGCTGCTGTAGAACTCGCTGTATCTTCCTGTTTTCTTGCAACTGTATCTGATTTCTTTCAAATGAAAAATGTTTAAATATATTCAAAACAAAAATTATATACTGAATAGTCAAAAAATAATCCAATGAAACATGCCATTTTGGTTCATGTGCATCTGTTGTCTTGAGTGATTATGTGGACAAAAGCTTTTGTATTTTCCTTACAAGGCTGTGTGAAATGTGATCAAATTTGACACTTAATTTTGTGTACATAGAGGAATTCTAGAAAAATAAACTACATGCCAACAAAAACATTACCTGGTTACTGTTTTCTTGCAATATGAGGTGTTCTTATGTATTATTTTATGATTAATCACAAGTGTGCAGCTGGGGTATTGTGCGAGAGAAACGGAAAGCAAAGAGAGGTAGGTAGGAGAGGGGAAGGGCAAAAGAGGAAGCTCTTGAAGTAATTGGGTGTCTAACCCCAAGAGGAAAAAAATGTCAGTTCTTTCTCAAAGGTTATGCAAATTTTATAGGTCTTTTAATCTCGCCCATTGTTTTCCTTTGCTTATACTCATCTAAGATTTTAAATTGGCAATCTCTGCAATAATAGTTGTATTTGCATCTGTTCATTTAAAATCATGCCAGTGTTTTGTGTTATTTCCATCACCTGTGGTTTGAATAAATCAGCTAGAGCTCTAGCTCTGATAAATGTCGCTCATTTTAAAAACAATGCTCTGCCTAAAGAAGGAATATAGGTGTCATCTTACACAATTTTCTCATCACTTGGACCAAATACCTGAAATCACTACATACAGAGGGAGAGGCTTATTTGGGGTTCATTTAGCACCAAGGCAGAAACAGGCAATCTGTGAAGCCTGGGGGGAACGTATACTATTCATCTTGCCAAGAATCAGAAAGAGAAACAAGTAGCCTGGGCAGGAGACATGCCTCCAGGTCACACCCTTGGTGATCACCCTCTAATCATGAGAGCACAGATACCCAGAGGCTAGCTCCCCTGAGCCAGATACCTCTCAACTGCTCTGCCTCTGAGTGTGGTCCTTTAGGGGGACACTCTAGATCTCAAGTAGGTGTTATTATGTTGAAAATATCAGCAATAATAACAAAAGTTTGTCTCACCAAATAGGCTGTGGGTATGGTGGCCTAGGCTGTGGTACCACAAATAGCACATCAGAATATACCACTTAATTCTGACATCTTATAATATTATGTGTATTATACATAGAAATGGGGAAGGAACTTTACTTGGAGAGAGTTTGATTAGATGAAAGATAGAAAGGAAATAAAACAACTATGTTAGATTAAAGTATAATTATTTCCTAAATCATAACATATTTGATCAGTAACAAATCAAAACTAGATTTTTAAACTTAGAAACCCGGTCTTATAAAACACATGCTCATGCATGCTGAATTTCTCCAAAATAAAATTGCTTCCTTTCTAAAAGATGTTCAGTTCCACTTATACAAATTTGACTGATACCATCAAATTCGATAAAATATTAATATAGAAAGGGAATATTTAAGGACAAATATGCTCACGACAAAATAATTTGAAAGTAGAATGAAATTCTACTGGTTTTGATTCTACTGTTTTTGACATATGCAACCAGCTCTTAGGAGAAGTATAATCAGCATAATTGTGGTTGCTACCACCAATACAGGCTTTTGAAACCCAATTGACATGAAATAACACAAATTCTGAAATTGTGTACTACTAAAGCACTGAGTTCAGTGCACCACAATTTCTCAAATGCGAAGTTTCAGCAGTTGGTTACCTAAGCAAACAGCATGAGCACTCTGAAACTGAAATACTGTCCATATCAAGTGGTGAAAATAATCACTAGAGCTCAGAACTTGTTGAAAGAAAGAACCTTTAACTGGAAAGGGAGGATTTCCATTTTCTTTTTTTTTTTTCATGGAAGAATTTATTTTATTTTTATTTTTTCCATAATTTTATTGAGAAACAAATAGCAATGAGACAGTTTCAAACCAAATTGGTAGGACAGTTTCAACAATTAACACATTGCATGCATTCTTCCTAGTGGTTAATTGCTATACAAGATGCAGACTTGATATCCTATTTACAAAAACCATTAGAGCAAATCCTTCTATTCATTAAGAGAAAGTAACTATATATCTATCCTAACCATTTTGAATACACAGATACAAAATGGACATTCATCTGTATCCCCTTTTTTTGTTAAGTTCCATTATTTGAATATTATGTACCTTTTTTTTTTTTCTGAACTGGGGATTGAACTCAGGCCGTTGTGCTTGCCAGGGAAGTGCTTATTCTACTGAACCATCTCCCTGGCCCCTCGTTATTTGAATATTATAGGTGTGTAAACTCAGCAAAATATTCTAAAAGAGTTCAGTAGTCCATAATAGTATTGGGTCTTCCACTTCACTGGCAATGTCAGAAACTGTTGACCTGAGTCCCCGACAGCTCAACATAACACCATGGCTTTACTTCTTATACTTCGGTTTTATATTTTTCTGCTGGATGGTTAAGACCAAGGTAAAGCAGGACCTATGCAACAAGAGTTGTAGTTTTTGGGTCTGATAAGGTCAGTGAAATCCCCTCAGGATTTATCCTGAGATTCTGTACCTTAGACTGTAGAACCTAACACAAGTGTATAGACACTATTAAGCAGCCTTATTTTACATAATTTTTGCTTGAATCATAGCAATCAGACTTCTCTTTCTTTCTTTTCTTTTCTTTTTCTCCCCTTTCCTTTTATTTCTTCTTCTTTGCCTTCTCTTTCTCTTGTTCTTGGTCTTTTTATTTCTTTTCTTTTCTTTTTTTTTCTTTCTGTTTCTCTTTCTTTGTTTCTTTCTGTCTTACACTGTAGCACTCTATTTTTTTAATTTTATTTATTTTTTTCCATAATTTTATTGAGAAACAAAGAGCAATGAGACAGTTTCAAGTCAAATTAGTAGAAAAGTTTCAATAATTAATAAATTGCATATTGTTTTCTTAGTGGTTATTCATTGTACAAGATACAGACATGATATCCTGTTTACACTTTTAGAACATATTTTCTATTCATTGAATTAAGAGAATGTAGCTATATATCTATCCTATTTTGAATATACAGATACAAAATGGCCATTCTTTTGAATACCCTTTTTGTTTAATTTTGTCATTTAAATATTATAGGTGTGTGAATTCAGCAAGATATTCCAAAATAATTTTCAATGGATGCTGTCTAGGATAGGCTAAAATTCTTGAGCTCAAATGACTGAAG